AGGGAACAGAGAGCGAATTTAAAAAAAGGGGGGGGGGAGTTTCGACTTTTTAAAATAATTTATTTATATATATTGTTTCGGGGTCGCTTCTAATTAAAGGCTCACTTCTGATATTATTATTGATACTTTTTTGAGGTTTTTCTCGCGCAAAGCAAATTGTAATGTGCCGTCAAAGTTACAGTAAACAGTTTTTAAAAGAAAAACAGACCATGTTGATAAACAATGACAGAACACGTAATTTTTAGAGCTGTTCTCAACGAAAAGCTCGCGTGTAACGTACCGTTGCTGTGGTTACCTCAGGCGAACTCGAGTCGCGACTTCTGTTCGCTACAGTCTGTTCGGCGACAAGTGAAAATATGGTTTGTCTTGTCTTAAACTTTTCTGATTACTGCTTGACAACCGTGGTGAAAGCACATACATGTAAAAAAATATATTTTCACGGGCAATAGTCGCGAAACTCCGAATCAAACTGTTCATTACATCAGTAACGTTACGTAATTAACGTCACTCACCTGTAGTCACTTGCACAGCCCACGGCAAGAAACTGGATATTTCCATCACGTTCAAGTTGATTCGTAAATCACAGGCCTTTTTCACAGGAAGAACGTATGAGCTAAATAAAAACACTGAATAGAGGTTTCTGAATTAGCATTAGTCACTCAACATTAGTTCTCAGTGTGTGGGGGAGAGGCGACCACCGGCATCCCTGAGTAATTGCGCCACACTTAGAAATTTCCTTAGAATTGCAATATAGACCGCATAGATGTGTTTTGATCATTTTTTCTTTTCTTTTTCTCTTTTTTTTTAAACAAGTGACTGACAATTGGACATTTCCACCATTACCTAGGGAACTTATACCGACACACTGAATTTTTATTTGGCACAATGGGAACCTGCTATTAAATACTCTATAGCTGCCGTTTAACGTCTTTATAAGCAACATTTAAATATATATATATATATATATACATACACACGAATAATTCTTTGTCCAGAGAGCAAAATTAGAGCAAAAAGTGCTTTTTAAGTAATTGGACCTTTGACTCAAAATCTAGTTAACCTGTGACAACTTGCCCTAGTCTGCCCAATTCATTGGTAAATACATTAGAAGCACTGATCTATTAAGCACTAACCATCAAGTCACAAAAAAACATAAAATGCTACTTGTTTTCGGCGGCTTCTGTTGTCAGCAATGATTTAGATCTGAGAACTATAAATGTAAAAAAAGATGAAAGTGGCAACAGTACTGGTTCTAGTTTAGAAAATCAGACATTTTAATATTTCAAAGTCAAATCAATCACCATGGAAACAAACCTTCAGATGGGCTGGTATGTGCAAAATACACCACATTCAAAACCACTGCCGCAAAACCAGACAAGCCCTGTATCTCCACAGGTATGGCTTCATTCAGCTTGTTTACAGTGAGATATTTAATCCTTATGCAAAAATTATTTTTTGTATAATAATACAGCACAGAAAAAAAAATCATCATACTTTCCTGTAATGAGGCTCGAATAATAAAAGGACAAATGTAAGCTGATTTAAATTGGTTGTGCTAAAAATTGGAGACTGAAAAGAATGAAATAAAATCTACAACTAAGTCAAATGGAAAACAGCCAGCCAAACTAGACTCCCCATTTAATCTGGGCATGAAAGAAGCTTTTGACTTTTACACGGTTTTGGCAATGCAGTCAAACCAACTGGCACATGCCTTACACACACACACACACACACACACATCAGTGTGCACATGCACACACTCATTCACACCAGTAGCTGTGCAGTTAATACTCTGGAGTATATAGGAAGAGTTGAAGTGCATCAGTCTGTGGCGTTCATCCACCATACTTTAATTTAAAGGCTCTAAAAGCAGGAGAGCGAAGCCAGATTCACTTCTTCCTCTCACCTGCGTTTCTATCACTCTCAGTTCATGTTATTTCACAAGGCCGATTTTCTTGGCCTCTGTTTCGTAGATCAGAAGTCTCCACATTTTCACTATAAACACTTCTGCTTCCTCATCCAGTACCTGTAAGAAACACACCCATGATTATCCTCACAGTAAATGGGTGAATCTCACAAAAACATGACCAGGTCACAATTCAACACAAGATTAAAAAAAAAAAGAGAGAGAAACTTTTTGTTAAAATGACTGAATAACATTAATGTACTACATGTACTTTGTTATTTTCGGTACTGATTATACCTAGATATTGTACTTACATATTGTAATTAATAACACATAGTAAGTGAAACACAGACTTTATAATAAAGTGTTAATATATAAATGATTTTATTTAAATCATTGTAAATGCTATACAGTTTTAAAAAATCACAATGCATAAAATTGAGATTTTTTTTGGCATTGTGGTAATGAGAAATGTGCTTAATTATCATGAAAAGAAATATTAAACTTTACTTATATAATATATTCTAAATATTCTATTCTATTCAATTCTGCTCTATTCTATAATATAATATAATAAGGGTGTAATATGATACTGACATGACAGGTTTTGTGAGATTCACCCAATAATATTTATTAGGAGTATGTGCAAATAACAAACCACTTTTAAATGTGCTATTTACCATGGCAACATCATCCAGAATTCCCTCTGGCGTGCTGTGAGCCATGACCTGCAACAAAGACAAAGCACACATTAATACAGAGAAAGGAAAACAGACAATATTCCCACCAAGACACAGGCACAAACACACCTTTGAACAGACAAAGTCGACTAGTGTGGCTTCCTCTTCTCCAATATATTCTATGATTTTCTTATTGATCCAGGGGCGGATCCTCCTGTCCATCAATGCCTGTGTGGGGAAAAGAGTCATCAATACATTGCATGCACATTGCTGAGCAATTACAAGCCACAATATACAAATAAACAGCCATTTAAAGCAGTCACACTAATATCTTGTCTAATAGCTTTTTCCTCTCACCGTGTCCACCATGTTCCAGTCCAGTGGATAATTAAACAGCTCTTGTTTGACTGTGGGAATTTTCTCAATCAGACTCTTGATATGTTTTCGTTTCTCTTCTGTGTTTACACCAGGCCGTGACCCTGTGACCTCTGCTCCATCTAGACTCAGGCCTCCCCTCTCATCCTCACTGTAATCGAGAGGTACCAGCTTCCTCTTTTTTGGTGCTTCCTCTGCCGCCTCCTCATCAAACTTATTAAAGACACTGTCCACCGCAGCAAGAGCTTTTCGTCTTCCTGCCTGGGGCAGTTTAGGACTACCCGCAGCACCTGAGAGACAAAAAGCAGTTTGAAGCCATTTGATGTAAAGGAGAAGAAAAACTTTCTAAAAAATTCTGAATACAGAATATCCTATCGATGTACACTACTATTCAAAAGTCTGGAATCAGTAAGATTTTTTTTATTTTGTTTTGTTTTTTAAAGAAGTCTCCTATGCTCACCAAGGCTGTATTTATTTGATCAAAAATACAGTAAAAACAGAAATATTGTGAAGTACTATTACAATTTCATCTGTTTTCAATTTTAAAATGTGATAGTTTTTTTCAGGATTTTTTTGATGAAGAGAGTTAAAAAGAACAGCATTTATTTGAAATAGAAACCTTTTGTAACATTATAAATGTTTTTACTGTCAATTTTGATCAATAATGCATCCTTTGCTCTATTAATTTCTTTGAAAAAAAAATCTTAAAGACGCCAAACATTTGAACGGTAGTGTAAATAAAAATAGATAGATAGATAGATACATACAAATATACATACATAAAAAGAAGATGTCAAATTTAAGGATGAAATTATGAATAAAAAAAAAAAAAGTCTGAATCGAGGTGTTCAGTGGTTCAGGCTGATGTAACAACTATCGAGGGTTAGACGTTTAAAACAAGAGTTAGGGGTCAAGCTCAATTATAATAATAAAGTAATTCCTATATTCCTATTCCTATATAAGAAATGTCTCACTAAATCTGAATTTGTTGCACGTCAGCTCCAATGCTTTTCCTTACAGAAAGAGCTAAAAATCGTTTTAGTAACACACAGACCTAGTTTGAGACTAAGGCCTATTTTAGGCCTGAGCTCTTCTGTAGGCGGGGCCTCATGTGAAGAGTTCTCATGCGACGTGACGCCACGTGGTGATTCGCTGCCAGGTGTGAGGGGTGTGGCACTGCCACTCGCTGAAGAAATAGAGAGCGCCGTGGGAACTGGTCTGAGTGTGGGCTTCAAGCATGGCTTGACGTCTCGGTCATCATCCTCCTCCTCTTCGTCTTCCTCTCGGTCTGTAATGTTATTGTCTATGGAGTACGCCTCCTGCTCCACGCCTCCTTTTCTCTGATGCTCCTCACAGGAGATGTGTAGCACCTCCTCGCTCTGCTCTTGCTTTAGAGGAGGCTGCCGCTGCTTCTCGGCCTCCTGCTCTATCTTTAAGGCAAAAAAACAAAGTTAGACACAGACACAGATGAATGCAGACATAAAAACGCACACACATACGCACCCTCTGAAGTTCAGCATCAGGGTCTGGGTGTCCTTCTGCTAGGAGTCTCTGTCTGATCTCCTCCAACTCATCTTTCTCTCTTTTTCTGTCCCTCTCATCTAATTCCAGCTCCTTCTCTCTGTCTCTCAATCGCTTCTGCAACGCACTGCCCCTGAGAGAGACAAAAAGAGAGCAAGACAAGAATCATAGACAGGGTGAGATATGTATTTGAACACAAGAACAGAATACTTCAACTATGGTCACCTACTGTAAAATGTTACATAAAAATATTTCAATAATATTTTGAGACTTTTTGCATAATCTTACAAACTGCTCAAGTGGAAATGATGCAGAGTAAAAACTGCATTACTGTTATTCAATTACCTTGACATGTAAGCATTTGCATCATTTTCATGGGTTTGTACCTGTAGTATTTGGGATCATCTCTGTCATCATCATAATCCTCCAGGAACTCTTTCAAGCGTTTGGCTTCTTTAGTCTGCAGAAAAAAAACTTTTATTATTTGCATAATTTTCTCTCATATATTGATGATTTTGTGGCCATTAAGTTTCCTACAGAGTGTGTCATTAGACTAATTTCCTTCCTTGTGCTATGACTCAAAAATATGACAAAAAAGATCAGACAAAAATATGGCAAAACTCTTTTAGTAAAAATTAATTATTCATATTTCCCCATGAGCTGATTCGCTACATATGTGTACACTACCATTCAAAAGTTTGACGTCAGAAATAAGTTTTTTAAAGAAATTAATATTTCTATTCAGCAAGAATGCATTAAATTGATCAAAAGTGACAGTAAAGAGATTTTGACCCTTATATATTACTTCTTGCATTAAACGGTTTAAATCTATTTGGCTACAATGGATGATTGCTTGAAATTATGGTTTGTCCGACTGAGGAGAAAAGAAAACCATTTTTAAACCATTTCAGCAGCAAACAAAAAAAAAGAAAAGAAAAGTTTTTACCTATATCATCATGTGTATAAATATACTCTGTTAGCTAATAGTTTTTATCCACTTATTCTTACCATCTCTCTATGTCTTTCCTCTTCTCTCTCTGTTTCTTTACTGTAATCCCTTGCTTTTTTCCTCTCTCTGATCTCCCAGTTCTTCAGGCGCTGCAAAAGACAAACATCACTGTATCTTACTGTGTTTGGTTTCAAGCACAGTTCTGTTTGTCCTGCATTTGAGAATAAAGGAGGGCAGATGATCTAGAAGCAGGACACTACAGAGCTCCAGAGACAGAAGCAGTGCTCTGGAATGGCACAGATTTTCTCTCACCAGCCTTTCTGCACTTTTATGGACCAAAAACCTAATAATCTAGTTTAGCACTACCATTTAGAGTAGATCAAATTCTGAATGTGCAAAGTGCAAGGAAATCATGTTTTCCATGATGTTCCATTACAATCATCTAAAACAGTCAATTTTAGATTCCAAACCTCCTGATAGGCTGCCTCCTTTTCACGTAGCTTCCTCTCCAGCTTCCGTCGTTCATACGCCTCCTCCTCATCTTCCTCGCGCTCTCTTTTCTTCTCTTCTCGACTCTTCTCCCTTCAAAACATAACGCGCCCCCACACAACATTTATTCTGTACATTAGAAACTAGCAATTACACTACTTACAGAACATAAACAACACTTACAAAGGATATAGAGACGAAGATTCTAGCTGAATCTTTTAGATGGTTTTAGAAATGTTCTAAATATTCTACTTTAGAGTCTAAACCCCATTAAATGAAATATTGCAAATATAAGCTTTAGGAAAAACACTTTAACACCTTTTTTTCTATATTTGATAAGCTACTCTTTTATTTATTTCATGTTTTATTTTATGTTTTATTCACTCTTTCATTCTTAGTTTTAGTTACTTGTTACTTTTAAAATGGTTGTATTTCTTTTAATTATTTAACAAACTACTGTTTGGCACGTTCTGTACATTGTCATATGAAACACTATGAGAAACATTACTTGAAAGGTGCTATACAAATAAAGTTATTTTCATTTGTTTGCTTTTTCCCAGAAGACAAAGTCTATACATTTCAAATGTGTATATAGCTGAATATCCAGGAGTACACTAGCAAGTAGTCAACTTCTTTGATATGGATAGACATGCACTAAAAGCCACAAAATTATTCTGATTTCATCACGTTTTTTAAAATAACATTGAATGGGTTTTCGCTACGCATTAATTAGGTAATGCGATTTATTTTCAAGTGAAACGAAATATGGGAAATAATTTCAAAATAAATGTAAAAAAATCTTGCACACTGTCGGACAACTTTATCATGCAATGTTTTGGTCAGGCAAAAAATACAGACTTTTGTAAAGATTCTGTAGTCATACACACCTTGACCTGCTTCTGTCTTTACTGCGATCACGACTTCTCTCATTCTCCCGCTCTTTCTCCTTCGTTCTTTCACGTTCACGGTCTCGCTCTCTCTCTCGCTCCTTTTCTCTCTCCTTCTGTCTCTCTCTCTCCCGCTCCTTCTCTCTCTCCCGATCACGTCGCTCTTTCTCTCGCTCTCTCTCTTTGTCTCTTTCTCTCCTCTCTTTCTCAATCTGCTGCCGTTCTTTCTCCTTCTCCTCCTCTAGTTTCTGCAGGGTTCCGGTGGGGTAAGAGAGATATTAGTTCATGTAAGTGTGAGAACACACATATAGAACAAGGGCAAAGTTCCAGAATCTCCCTGGAAACAGAAAGAGGTTTAAATAATGAAGCCAGTGTCGGAGTATGATAAAAATTTTCATGATTTTAAAACTTACACTCAAACAGATGCACAAACAGTATTCCTCTCCCATATAAAGTTTCATCCTTCTACACATAATTTGGAGAAACCATGAAAAAAATATTTCAGTAAAAATATTATTCATCATCATACATGATTACGGTCCACTTAAACCATCTGAAATATTCAAAATAAAGCAAGTAATAATTTTCATGGCAGATAAAGAGGACACACTGCACTAAAGATGCTTTCTATATGAATGACTTGAAGACATTACACAATTGTCTTTTGTCTTTGTGTTCGGAGATGCTTTCACTGCCAGAAATTACCTAGGCCTTATAAATAGGCAGGGTGGGTCAGTTTAACCATACTCCCTACCAGGGTTGCTGTGATACAAAAATAATAATAATAATAATAATCTGTAGTCTGTAACAATATGAGTGGAATATCAATATCATTGCAAAAGCAAAAACTAAAATTCTTTATAAATTAATAATGTTCAAAAGTATGGGGTTGGTAAGACTATGTTCATATTTTTGAAAGGAAGTCTCTTAGTCTGCATTTATTTGATCAAAAATACAGTAAAAACAGTAATCATGTATATAAAACATATGTGAGATATTCTGATTTAACATATCTATTTTTTATTTTAATATATTTTAAAATGTAATTTATTCGTATGATGGTAAAGCTGAATTTGCAGCATCATTACTCCAGTTTTCGGTGTCACATGATCCTGCAGAAATTATGCTAACATGCTGATCTGGTGCTCAAGAAACATTTCTTATTATTATCAATGTTGAAAACAGCTGTGTGACTTGTTTTTTTGTTTTTGTGGAAACAGTGATACTTTTTTCAGAATTCTTTGATGAATAGAAAGTTCAAAAGAACAGCATTTATTTGAAATAGAATTATAAATGTCTTAAATATCACTTTTGATCAATTTAATGCATCCTTGCTTTCAAAAACAGAAAACAAATCTTACTGACCCCAAACTTTTGATAGGTAGTGTACATACAAATACATACATATCTGTATAATAAATGTACATGCATGTATAATAAATATATAAGTACATAAAAGTATATACATACATTTATATACAAACATACATGTACACACATTTATTTAGACAGCAAAAATATGAATATTAGTAAAACTAAAACAAAGGAAAGTAGCATTTTTAGCCTAATTATTGGAGTAAACAGCAGTGTTTAATTAATATTAAAGGGGTCATATGATGCGATTTCAAGTTTTCCT